TATATATATATATATATATATATATATATTATAACTTTTACACGATATTTTTTCTACTAATCTATAACTATTTTAAAAACCTCATAAATCGATACTTGAAATATTATTAAGATAATTGAATAAATCAGTAATTCACTGTTTTATTGATAGGCTTACCAAGTTTTATTTTATGTACATGAATATTTTAGATAGATTTATATTGATGAGTTGTTTTTTAATTTACTAGATTTGCCTTTTAGAGCAGTCAGTTAGAAACCAAGAAATCATATCATTGCCTTATGATTTCCATACTATTTGCCACATGATCTATATGATTAATAGTAAACTTCTTTTCACTTAAATAACTGAAACTTTAGTATGTTGTAAATCTTTAAAATAATGTATTGCTGACACAGGATATTTGAATGTATTTAAAAGAGATAAGAATGACCAAAAGAAAACAGAAGTATTGCCTCAGCTTTTCAGTTATGTGTGTTTATCAAGAGACTGCACAAATATAGTGATAATGTGGTTCAGTACTTCTGTGTGTGTTTATTAAATACTAAGAAAAAAAGTTTTATGTTTGGTGTTAAACAAAACCATGCTTTCATTTATTTTTCAATTTACACACTAGGATGGTCTAAAACAACTTTTCATCTGACTGTTTTACCATTATGAAAATAAAAACACTTTAAATACTACAGACAAACAGGTTAATTAAACATGAGGTTTTGAAACTTGCTAGATGCAGTGTGAGAACTGAAAGCAAAAGAGATAAGTTGATTTTGCATATACACTTCCTGTTATGTGATCTTTAAGATGTATGTATTTTCTGTAGAAGACAGCCAAAAATGAGTTACAGTTTAACTCACAAACTGAGGTAGAGACAATAAGTGTACTGGAGAAATAACACATTTTATACCTTTGGCAACCAATTATAGCTGGTGTGATGTTTTTTTTGTTTCTTCTGAATGACAAGTATGAAGATTTAAAATAACAATTCCTGTTTATAAACATTGTTACAATTGTTTTAGAAATATTGCATTTTCGTTTAAAGGGATAGTGAACTTGTGGAAAATTTCTATCAATATCCATTACTGCATTATTACTCAAAAAACACAATAATAAAAATACATACTTGTTGTACCAACAGTCACCAATTTTCCAAGAAACAGTAAAAGATCAACCACCTTATCCAGAACAACAACCCTGTGATATAAGAAAAACAGATCTACATTATTGCAAAACATTTTCATACATTCTTTACTATGTGTAGGTTTATTCAATAGATCTAATATTAATGATAAAAATCATGCCAGATTGCAGGTCTCATTCCTCTTAATCTGTTTGCTAGTTTTCAATGCTTCCCCAGCTTTCCACATTCAAAGTTTTGTACGATTACTCATATATATATATACACCTGGAAAAAAGTTAAGCACCCCCAAATATTTTTCAGGATTGCTTATTGAAAATA